ATTACTTATTTTAAAATTGTTGGATTTTTGGGTCTAAATCCCATTTGTTATGAATAAGAAGTTTGATATGAAAATGTGTGTCTTTTTGTCGTCGAACAGATGTATCTTTTCATGTCGAACTGATGTGTCTTTTCGTGTTGAACGGATATGTCTTTTCATATCGAATAGATGTGTCTTTTCGTGTCGAAGAGATGTGTCTTTTCGTGTCGAACATATGTGTCTTTTCGTGTCGAATAGATGTGTCTTTTCGTGTCGAACATATGTGTCTTTTCGTGTCGAACAAATGTGTCTTTTCGTGTCAAACAGATGTATCTTTTCGTGTCAAATAAATGTGTTGTTTCGTCGATGAAAACATGCTTTTTGAATCGTGACCTTACGTTTTTTATAAATATATAGAGAGTCATAGTTTTAGTTAAGTTTTGTTTTTATGTATTGTGCATCCATACCATAGTACTAGATAACGTGATTCTTTAAGCGTTCAGTTGTGTTCGTTCGGGCTTCTGATCAGTAATGCCAACGTTCTGAAAATGTCAATTCGTTCTATCTTGTGAGCCAACCTTCGGCATCCATAGAGGGAACAAATTATCTTAAGGAGACAACATCTCTTGGGCTCAAATTTATCTATATATTGACATCTCTTTCATATATCCCATGAGTTCGTTTCTTATTTTTATTGCACTTTAATTATATATTTAATTATAGCATATTCGTTGTATAAATTTTAATCTTATTCACCTACTATCTTCAATGACAAAAATCATATTTTTTATTATTTTAAGCCATCATCAATGAATAATTGTATTTAAATAACATAATCATATTACCACTTTTGTAAGAGCATATAAATCCTTTTCTTAATTTTATGGAATATCCATATCTAATTTACTTGAATTTTTCTCAATTACAATATATATATATTTAAATCCAACTGTAATTGTGTAAAATCGAGGATGTAGCAGGAGGGCACGTGAAGAGCCTGGTAAGGGAATCTAATGAAGCCGGTTCCCGAGACATATGGTGATAAAAGGATCCAACACCAACAAAAGTAAAAGGAAACAGCTAGCACTGCATCCGGTCCACACCACGTTACTATCATCATCACAAACCCACCAACCATTTTCTTATTCTTTATTTTATTTTATTTTATTTTTCAGATCTTAAAGGGATAAAAAAGCTGAGCTGTGGCGGTGAAAATTCCATGCGTTACTTCCAACTGCTCTATTTAATAGTGTTTCTATAGAGTACCTACGATAGGGTTTTCATAGTGGTCAAGGGTTATGCAACTTTTGAATAGTGTTATGGTGGTTGTGTGTGGATTTTAACCCTAGTTTTCCTATTTGTAGCAGTAGGTTGCTCATAGATCTCTCTATGGCCATATATAGTTCTCACTTGTCATCAAATCTTGTTGTGGATCTAATATTTAGGTTTATGTTTTTGCAGTTTGTTTTTTTGATGATGTTAGATTCTCTTGTTTTGAGCTGAACAACGCTTCTTTTTCCACTTTTTGTTTTTTTCTCATACAGATGAATCTTTGCGATGAGGTTGGTCTTGATTTTCGGTGTTTTTTTTTCTTTGTGTGAAGTGATTAGGGTTTTTGGAGTTGGAAGATGTGGTTAGGGTTATGATCTTATGGTTTGAAAGATTAACTCAAAAAGGGGTTATGGAGTGGAGCTCCTTGAAGTCCAACTGAGGATCTTGCTGGGTTGATTGAGCTGCTATGCTATGGATCCCAAAGTTCTACCCATGATCATGTGTTTTTTGTGGTAGTTCTATGGCTTCCATATCTTGGGAGCTTAATTACCCATAGTTTTATCCTTCTTTGGATTGAAGGGAGCTCTACACCTTCCTCTCCTTTTTTTTTTTATAACTTACATCTAAATATATTTCAAACTTCATCTTTTCCTAAGCATGTACATGTTAAGCTAAGCTCCAGTCTCCAGACCGATTATGTTATAGTAATTTTTTTATCCAATTTTTGTTCATTTGTTATAGTTGATTAATTTTTGTTGCTTATTATATTAGATCTGGGTTTGTGTGCTTCAGGTTCGGTCATGATTTATGGAGATTTACTATTTTTTTGATTTATAGTTGTGTTGTTGAATGCTTCACGTTGTTATTTGGTATGAGCCAAAGTGGTGTTCTACCTACGTTCTCAACCTCACAGATTTTATTTTTTTATTTTTTTATTTATTTGCTCACTGATCTTGGAATTTCTCTTAAACTGAAGTTCTAATATGCAGATCCATAATACTCTTGCCTCTGCCATTTTTTCTCATTCCAAGCTGGGACATGTCGCGATCTTCGTGCTTGACCTTCCATTTGATGCATTTCTCATTCGGGAAAATAGAGTTCTTCCGTTGAAGATTTGGAGATTGGAGACCTATTGTTTAACTGAAGATATTAATGAGTTTCGTAAATGTACAATTCGGTTATATTTTGAAGTCATTTATGGCGAGTTTACTTGTAATTTAATTTTTGTAGTTGAAAGTTATGAATTATTTATTGCTCTGAGTAGAGTCAATCGAAACTGTATGCATTTTAAATGTTTTGTATTGTTTAATGTAAACTTAATTATTTGCTCGATTTGATTTCTGAGAAGTTGATGTTATGAAATATATATTCTCTGAACGAACGCAAGAAATGTGCTGTTTTTTTTTTTTAATCTTTTTCAGTGTATTATTTTTTATACAGTCTGGGCTGTATGTAACAAGTTTTCTTTCAAAGCTTTGTAAATTGTAACTGTGAAGTATTATAAGATTTGTTGATAGTTTCATAAATTAGAAAAAGGAAAATATTACTTTCTTTTTACATGAGTTAACTTATCTTATTTTCTCATTCCGATTTTCGTATCTTATTTTTTTTTTTTTTCCTTGTAATGATGGGACTCATTCATTTATTTTCTACCATTACGTGGGAGCCGATTAATAAAACCCTTAGAAAAAAGGGTCAGAAGTTGCAACTCTCAGACGCATAGGAGTTACTGAGCAACGCGTTTAATACTCCATGATAAATTGGTAATGAATATCATAGAGGGTTAAAGAGTGAATAATAATTGTGCGTTAAATGCTTTGAACAGTTAGAAATGCGTTGTATAAATTTTATTATCTCGCTTCTAATTAAGTAGCGCAGTTGTGAGATATAAAGTAGTAAATCTTAAATAAAATAGAACGTACATATAGGATGTCAACGCAATAAATCTATTGTGCTCAATAAGCTCTTATGCATTGATAATACACTACATTTTGTGTGTAGTTAATTATAATAAGTATTAGCTTATGTCTTTCAATTTAGATTTCATTACGTCAAATGGACGTGAATGTAGTTTTGCTAACAGGAATACAGTTGCATCGTTGCAATTGATGAATTCAGTTGCATCGTTGCATTTTTGTAGTGCTTACCTGATTTTGCAAAAAAACTACATGGTAAAAAACTTTAGATAATTATTATTTCCAATTATGCAAATTAAATAGGAAACCAGAAAGAGAAGGGAAAGAAAACGTTTCTTAGAATAATTGCTTGCGGCGGTTCCAAGAGCAGTGTGGGTGGAGAGTTTGATTTATTTTTCTTATCGGAAATAGTTTTCTATTTTTAAGAACAGAAGCACTAAACTTCAGGGTCTGATTTTGTGTTCTGTTATTTTTTTAATTATTTTGTAAAATAGTTAATGAAATATATATTTTCTGTATTTTTTTTATTTTAAAAGTTTAAATTCAACACAACAAAAACAACGGATATGTTTCTTAAATTTGATTATAAAAATAAAAAAATAATTATAATTTTTAATACTAGTTTTACAGGTTTTTCTCTCTCTAAAATTTTAATATATTATCTTTGGAAACATAAATCAAACAAGTCCCAATTTTATTAAAAAAATATGTACATATTTGTTTTATGTTTTATATTCTCTATTATTATGTCAAAATCACTGCTGTTGCTGATTTCGTAATCTTTCAAAAAAAAATTTCAAAACTAAAGTCATCAAGCAAGGATATTTTTAAGAGAACGGATCTATTTACCACTAAAAAAATTAACAACTCTAACCCCCAAGGGTAGCTCAGGGCAGGGATCAAATCCTGCCTCAATCAGTTTCTTAGAAAATCTTTGTGGGCTAGAGGATAAGCCAAAAAATCTTCGGTTGGGGGATTAGTCTCGTCCTTTCTCCGGTTGTGAAGCTTAGTGCACCCACTGTTACAATGAGGGACTAGCCCAAACGGGCCGTACCCCGAGGGCATGGTGCCCGGAGAAGGTTGAATGGGGATACCTCCTGGCAATGTACCAAAAAATAAAAATAAAAAAATTAACAACTCTTACAATCAAATTAATCACCGTTGATTTCTGTCTTCTCTCCATTTTTTTAATACTTTCATTTTGTAAATTCTAAAAAAAAAAATTCTATGAAGACTGCACCGTCGAACTGTCGAATTGATCCGTTTTTAACATCAGGAAAAAAGTTATCATTCGTCAATTATTAGTAATATCTCAAACAAATTTAGATTAATTCACCGATTCATAATTACATGACTAATTCAATTTGAGTTTTTATCAAACCTACATAGAACAAAATTTTTAATTCAGAGATTTCAATTAAGAAAACAAATTTTCTATCGCTTGAAGCAATGATTATTGATTACTCTCTCACATTTTTATACAACAACCCATCAAACACCACAAAGATTTAGTTTTATTAAATATCGCTTATCAATATAGAAACTAAAGTCTTTCACGTTTATTGTCCCTGCTTGCCCTTTAGACTATTTCCTTTTTGATTTGCATTAAAAAAACATAGACGGGTTCAATCCTGACCATATGTATGGAAAAAAAACTGTTGATAGAATCAAAATCCACTTCGGTGATCTCTACGCTTCGAAAGGATTAATCTTCGGCAATAGCTAGAGAAGGAAACTCAAAAAAACATAAAACTTCTTGGAAGAATTCTCAAATAAAGAATTATGATGCAAAATTATGACAAACGCTTAATGAATGAAAGAAATAAAGCCATTCCTGTGTATACAAACGCTGACAACAACCCCAACTAAAGTCCTAATCCTAAAGGATGGTTCCTCCCAACACTAAGATATAACCAAAGAGGCAAAGTGGGAGTGTTATAGAACACTCATTAAACCAAAAGAGAAAAGACATACAAAAAAATTAGAAGACTAAGAATTTATCAAATTTATTTTTCGGGGGAAATCTTTTGAACCTCGTTTATATTTTTGTACAATGATGCCTCATGCCTTCCGTACAACAAATTTAATCTTTTTTTTTTTTTTCTTCTTTGGTTTGAAACATATATATCTTAATCATTAGTCAATGCAGTTGGTGTATTTGCATAGAGGAGAGTGAAAAAAGGTTCAACCTCTGGTATATTTTTAATGACTTGGATGAAATGATTTTTGCTAGGTTCTTCAAGGAGCAAAGGACGCATCTGTGCAACTTGTGGTAACACTTTAGCCAGTGGAAGCCCTAAAGTTACATTTCCTCCTCTTAATTTAGCTTCCATGTGCTCCACCACTGTATCTACCACTGCTTTCAGAGATATATCTACAATGCTCCCAAATTCAGCACTGCAAAAAAGGACAAAAACTATGCATAATTTATTCACACAAAGGCACGTTTTTTTGGAAAAATACCAAGCATAGAAACATTAAATATGTTGTACCTTGTCCCTCTACCCATTTAAAAAAATTCAGTTTGATTGGTTAATCTAATGTAGCTCCTAATGTTACATGACATATTCAGCATAAAATCTATGTAAAAGTTGACCATAAATTAATAATTTCATTCTCAGAAAGATTCATATCATTGTCAACTATTGCACCATCATAGTCCTCCTTAACATTACAAGTAGTAGAGTTCATCCACATGGTTCCCACAAATTTATTAAGCTTTATGGCAGTTGTAATTAAACAAAGCTTACAAAGCCTAACATATATACCTTGATAACACTGCTCGTGCCTCCACCATAAGTTGATCAAATAAAGTCACATCAGCAGGAACTCGATCATCACCGAGGGAGGTTTTCGAATGTGCTTTAACATCCTCAGGCATCAAATACTTTACCCAGGAATAGGTACTCCCCATGCTAATGAATGTATCAAGTATCTGCATGATGGTTTCTTGAAGTGTTGTACTGTTGAAGACACTTCTCAACTGCTTTCTGCACATTGAAATTACCTATAGCCCATTTAAAATGGTTCTTGACAGGGAATAAATATATAGGGTGTCTCTAAGTTATAGAAATTAAATCATTATGTCCAACTAATCTGAAAAGAATTTGATATCCTGTGTTTCTCAATTCAGAAACTTAGTGAAGAATAGATTGAAAACTTTGAAAGCTTCAAAACACAAACTTGGGTATTGACAAATCCTATGTGTGGCATTGATAGAATTTTTTTTTATAAATTCTAAACTGTACACAGTTAAGATTGTTCTATATCTTGTGTGAAATCCAAAATTTATATGATTATATCCCAGAAAATAATTTAAATGATTGACAGATTTAATCCATGAATTGTCAACCTTCAAAATAATATGAGAAACCTCACCCTTGGAGAACTTCTTTTGTTGCTGTCTCCATATCAGAAATCAAGGTAGCCATACCACATTGAGAGAGAAAATCTACACTTCCTAGAAACTTCTGCTGGTCTTCCCTATCGATCACGTCTCCACTTTCCTGTACAAAGGGGGAAAAAGACCTTTTAGATTGCACGTGGAATGCGTGAATTTGGCGAAAAGTATTAGCGTTTCAATCTAGTCTGGTCAAATGAAGCTGAGAATGGATTTTTTTTTTATGTTTGTTAAACAAATACATATATGGACTAGCCTAACCATAGGAGCAAAACAAATACACCACTCAAAGAAATTGATCGGAAAGTTTTAAAAATTCTGACCAACCTTGAGATTTGACCCATTCCTTGATTCCACCAATCAAGTAGTAAAAAACCCCATTTTGTACTACATAGCCTACATTCAGATCCCCATACCCCCAGTTAAGTTCATCATCCAAATGCAATCTCACCAGTGTCATGAAAATAAAATTTCACCCCTTCACCGTCCTCAATAAAAACAAGGTCCCGAGAAAAACAGAAAAAATTATGCAGATATATACAAAAACAACAAGTGTTATCGCACTAAAAGAGAATGTTCTGTTGAATCTATTATGACATGGATCAGAGAAGCATAATAAAAAATAAAAAAAACCCCACTCCCCATTAAATCCGACTAGCGAGGGTAAGGTGGAGATAATCCTTGTACGCATAGAGATAGGAAAAATGACATCTGATTGAATTTGTTTTTACTCAATCATGACATTCAGTAAATATTCAATTAAAAATGATGAGTGACAACAGATACTTGTTAAATCGTATCTGTGAAACCATACAACATGTAAAGACAATGAAACTCCATAGCCTAATTCTTAAACCAAAAGTGAACAGTTTAAAACTTGTGGGAGACACACTTCCTCATTTTTTTAGTGGTTGAAGGATGATTTTCTTAGGAAATTGTGCTCCCACCTCCATTCAGGAAAAAAAAGTAAATTCATTCACTATTTCTACTGATAATTATTTCCATAGTGATGCTGTAACAATATCTTCATATCACAGTCACTAAACAGCAACCAGAAGCCTGAAGTTTTGCAAATGGCAATCAGAACAATATGTATGCCACCTAATACTCTCAAAACCTATCACTATACATGTTGAATTAGTCTTGGCTGTAGAAAAACTGAACATAAGGTGTTTTCTTGTCAATCATTTACGTTTCTCACCCACATGCATTTGTTGGTTGTTGGTTTGCTTGGTAGATTTATCTAAACATGGAATGGTTTAAGCTTTAATTGGTGTAACTGAGGCAAGTACAAATTGTACAGTGACTCACTGAAAAATTCCACTCTCATTAAAACTAATTTATGAATGACAGAAGACTCCCTATTTAAAGAAATAATTCAATTGCATCACTTCCAATCAATAAACAAACTGATGGATAGATTCTTTTGACTTTATGTTATGATCATCAAAGCCTGTCTTAAATTTTCTATTAGACTACCAACACATCTTGTACCTAATTCAAGCATTGGATGCTATCAAACACCAGTAATTTCTGAAAAGATTTGCAAGTGAACCATAATGTTCCACATACACACACACACACACACACTAACAATATAGGACATGAGTTAAGAGAAATTGAACTTGGTGAAGATCCATGGCACATCCACGTAAATTAACTTGGAATAAGGTCAAATAACTCTGACTGCATGGGAATGCAAGTGCACCTTGATATTATAAGTAACAACATGGATCCTTAGACAGATTAGGGAGTGGAATACTTTATAGTGCATACTGCGTATATCCAAAATATCCCAATCACACTCAATGCTGACCTTTGATAAGAAAGGTGAAAAATTATCTCTCAGAGCAGAAAATAAAAGAAGTAGTAATTCTAGATCTAAGGTTTAAACTATGAATGGTCCAATCAAAGTGGCATGGCATGTCATTGCCGGCCGTAACCTAATCAGGATTCTACAAAAGTTAGCCCTTTAACAAATTTTAAAAACACATACAACAGGCATATATTTCAATAATTGATTGACTTTGATCCTGAAAACTGTATCAGTAACTCATGCAAGCCTCTGCTAAATCACACTATTATAAGTTAATTTTGCAATTGAGTGTACATAGCAGACAATCCATGTCTGCCTTAAGGGTTGTTCTGTTTATATTGCTCAGCCTTTTTTTCTCCATTTGGGCTTGAACAGAATTGTTCAGTCATTAAAATAGTAAGAGGTAGCTACCCTTCAGTTTCAGCACATAAATAATCGAAAGATGTAGCCATTAAATTCCATAAAAAATATCAAATTTAAACTTCTGATCATACTTAATTGTGAGAAATCCTAAAGTTTTTTTTTTTTTTTTTTTTTTATAATGTTGTTTTATAAAGTTATTCTAATATGAGCAAATATTTGGAACAAAGCCAGAAAGAGAAATGTTGTAAATAATATTTATTTATTTATTTGTTGTATTGGGCTTAATCCATTAGATCATGTAGTCTCTTTAAATAGAAAACCCTTTGTACAGATCAAATACAATTCAATAATATATCAGATTACCCTTTTTTCAAGTTGATATCAGAGCTCTGGATCCTGAGGGCTCTGCTTCCGCGCCTATCACCTTTAGAGCGAAACTTTTTATTTTTTGTCTCTCGCTACCATCAACCGCCAGCGGAAATTTTTTTCCGGGGACCTCTTGGACCGAGAAGACCACTGTTAACCTTGTCTTGTTCCGATCTATCAGTCTACCTACTGTTTCAGAATAGCAAACGACGCGAACACCTTCAACCGCCGTCAACCAGACCTGTTCATCGTGTTTTGGACACTTTTCTAGCGACCTTTCAACTCCGACCAGCCACAGACAGGTTCGCGCTCGTCGGACGACCTCGCCGTAGAACGCTCAGCCCGGAAAGCCACCGCACGCGCTCTCACGCGCCACCGTCTCCTCTGCGAGTGACACCCACACGCCGACAGCTTCACCGGCGCGTGGCTGTGATTCTCCTCCTCGGACCACTGTCGTTCTGCTCGTCTCTTTATTCTCTATCTGGATCTGTGCTTTCCCCTCTGATCCGACGTCGTTTGGGTATATGTTGTGTATTTCTTGGCTTCTTGGTGCTATTTTTAAACTATTTTTTGCAGTATGGCTTCTTCCGACACTGATTCAACTGTTGGAAATACTTCTACACAATCTGTGGTGACCCCTCTTGGTCACAATGATCTTCCAAGTCTACATCAGAGTTATCGACTTGATGGATCAAATTATTTATCGTGGTCTCAACTTATTCGTACTACCATCAAGAGTCGCAATAAGATTGTTCATCTTGATGGCCCTGTTCCTGCTGCCACCGATCCTAGTTTTGCTGTCTGGGATAATGAGGATTCTCTTATCATGACTTGGTTGTGGAATTCGATGACTCCAGAAGTGGGTCGTCACTGTATGTTTTTATCTTCTGCTAAGGAGATTTGGAAAATTGTCCGCTCAACCTACTCTTTGAAACAGGATATGGCTGCGCGCTATGAATTGCGTAATAAAATATTCTCTACTAAACAAGACTCCTTATCAGTGACTGCTTATTATGGTACTTTGAAGGAGTTGTGGACTGAACTTGATCAATTTCAGAGTTTGAAGATGCAATGTACTACAGATGCTACTGCCTTAGCCAAGGAGGTGGAAAATGAGCGTATTTTTGATTTTCTTGCTGGTTTGAATTCCGAGTATGATCTTATTCGGGTTCAGATACTTGGCAAAGATACTTTTCCATCCCTTTCTGCTGTTTTCAATACTGTTCGGGGGGAGGAGACTAGTCGGGGAGTTATGATAAACTCTGATAAATCTGCCATGCTGTCATCACATGATGGGTTTGCTATGATTTCTACAAAAAATGATGGTTCTTCTCATGGGAGTTCTTTTACAAAATTTTCTGATTGTGCATCTTCTAGACCTAAGAAAGATGATCAGTGGTGTTCTTATTGTAGAAGAACAGGTCATATCAAGGATCTATGCTTTCGCCTCCATGGAAAGCAAAAAGTCTTAGAAAAGATGGCAAGGATGCGTGGTCAAGCACATTTTACTTCCTCTGATATAGCTCTTGCACCTAATGAGACCCAACCTGCATTTCGTCAAGATGAGTGGAACGACTCCGGACCATCCTTGATTCTCTGAGTAAGCCATCTGGTACTAGTGATTTGGTTATGACTAGTATGAGCTCCAATACTTATTCTTTTCTTACTTCATGTATTGATTTTAAACATTCTTGGGTTATTGATTCTGGTGCTACTGATCATATGACTTGTTGTGCTGACTCCTTTGTTTCTTATAACCCTACCATTCGCACTCACACAATAGCCGTAGTTGATGCCTCACATAAATTAGTTGCGGTTTTTGGTAACATAAATTTACAGCCTTCCTTACAACTTAAAGATGCTCTTCATGTCCCTAAACTCTCTACTAATCTTCTTTCTATTCATAAAATTATAAAAGATTTGAATTGCACTGTAACCTTCTTCCCTAATCACTGTGTTTTTCAGGATCTCGCCACGGGGAGGACGATTGGGGGTGCTAAAGAGCAAGGTGGGTTGTACTATCTAGTGTCACAATCTCCCGCAAATAATGTTAAGGATCATATCTTGTTGTCTCATGGCAGTCAACTACTGATTCTCTGATTTGGCTTCATCATAAGCGCTTGGGACACCCTCCATTTAGTTTACTCAAGTCTTTATTTCCGTCATTGTTTTTGTCCAAGTCTGTTGAGTTCTTTTATTGTGATGTTTGTGAGTTTGCAAAGCTTCATCGTGTATCTTTTCCTTCTAGTATTACTAAAAGTGTTGAAACTTTTGATCTTATTCATTCTGATGTTTGGGGTCCTTCTAAGGTCCCTCCTTCTTCTGGTAATAAATGATTTGTTTCTTTTATTGATGATTGAACTCGTGTAACTTGGGTTTACTTAATGCGTGAAAAGTCTGAGGTACCACAACTATTTTCTCAATTTTATAAAATGGTTGAGACCCAATTTGGTAAAAAAATCAAGAGACTAAGGACTGATAATGGTACTGAATATGTTAATCACTATTTACCCAATTTCTACGAAGTCAAGGTATGATTCATGAACTTACTTGTGTAGACACCCCTCAACAAAATGGGGTTGCTGAAAGAAAGAATCGTCACCTTCTTGAAGTTGCTCGTGCCTTACTGTTTCAAACCCATGTACCCAAATGTTATTGGGGAGATGCCATTCTTACTGCAGCGTTCTTGATCAACTGTTTACCCACTCGGGTTCTTGACAATGTAAGTCCTATTCACTCAATAACTTCTTTTTTTCTTTCTGTTCAAACTATGCAGAGTCTTCCTCCACGAGTGTTTGGGTGTGTTGTCTTTATTCATGTTCATAAACATCATCGCAGTAAGTTAGATCCTAGGGCCCTTAAATGTGTTTTCCTTGGTTATGCTCCTGATAAGAAGGGCTACAAGTGCTATTACCCTGGCAGTCGATTTTTTTTTGTTTCTATGGATGTTACATTTCAGGAATCTGAGTCCTTTTTCCAAGGTCTTCATCTTCAGGGGGAGAATAATTCAGCAGAAAACTCATCACCTTCCTTCTTTGAGTTTGAATCTTCAGTGTCTACTCCTTCTTCTCTTGTTTCTGTTCCACCTGTGTCAGATTCTCCTGTGTCTGATCCTCCTGTGACTTATCCATCGACTACACCAGAGATACGGAAGATTGTGACACCTGAGTTGGTATATCATAGAAGGAAACAACCCACATTGCTTCACCAGCAACCTCAATCATCTGAACCACTGGTAAGTCCTGAATCTCATATTTCTAATCATGATATTAATACTTCTGATGACTTACCCATTACTACTGATTCTGATGATTTACCCATTGCCCTAAGAAAAGGAAAAAGATCTTGTTCCAAGAAATCTTATTCCTCCTGTCCCTCTTGTACTCAATATCTTATCTCCCATTTTTTTCTTCTACTAATCTTTCTGTGCAGCACAAAAGCTTTGTTTCAGCACTAGATTCTATTTCAATCCCAAAATCAGTACATGAAGCATTGAAAGATGGGAATTGGGCTCAAGCCATGCAAGAGGAGATGAATGTGTTGGAGAAAAATAAAACATGGGAGGTTATTGATAGACCCAACGGAAAGAAAGCAGTAGGGTGCAGATGAGTTTATGCCCTGAAGTATAATTCTTATGGCACTCTTGAGAGACATAAGGCTCGATTAGTCGCCAAAGGTTACACTCAGACCTATGACATTGATTATGAAGAAACCTTTGCTCCAGTTGTAAAGATGAATACGGTGAGAGTCTTGTTATCCTTTGTTGCCCATTACAATTGGGATATAAATCAATTTGTTGTAAAGAATGTCTTCCTCAATGGTGAGTTAGAAGAAGTCTACATGAAAATCCCGCATGGTTTTGATTCTGTGAATGGAGAAAATATAGTTTGTAGATTAAAAAAGGCCTTATATGGATTGAAGCAGTCACCTCGTGCCTGGTTTGGAAGGTTTACTAAGGTTATGATGACCTTAGGATACAAACAGAGTCAAGGAGATCACACTCTTTTCTTTAAGCACTCCCAAAATGGGAAGTTCACTGTGCTCCTTGTATATGTTGATGATATTATTATCACAGGTGATAATTTTGTGGAGAGACATATTCTGCAAACACAGCTAACCTCTGAGTTTGAAGTTAAAGACCTTGGGAAACTGAGATATTTCTTAGGGATAGAGGTAGCTCATTCAAACAAAGGAATTTTTATCAGCTAGAGGAAATATGTTCTTGATCTTCTCAAAGAAGCAGAAAAACTCGGGTGTAAACCCTCTAATACTCCTATTGAGCAGAATCACAAGATAGGCTATGAAGAGGAGAGTCCTCCAGTTGATAAAGGACAATATCAACGGCTAGTTGAGAAATTGATATATCTGGCTCATACTAGACCAGACCTAGCTTATGCTGTTAGTGTTGTCAGTCAGTTTATGCACGATCCAAAGGAGAAACACATGCAGGCAGTGGAGAGAATTCTTCAGTATCTTAAAGCTACTCCTAGCAAAGGACTGTAATTCCGGCGTGATGGAGATCTCTCTTTAGAAGTCTACACTGATGCTGATTATGTTGGATCTGTGACTGACCGTCGTTCTACCACTAGTTATTGTATGTTTCTTTGTGGTAACTTGGTGACATGGAGAAGTAAGAAACAAGATGTGGTTGCCAGATAAAGTGCAGAGGCTGAATTTCGAGCTATGGTTCAAGGCATTTGTGAGTTACTGTGGCTAAAAATTGTACTTGATGATCTCAAAATAAAATGTGAGGGACCTATGAAGCTGCTATGTGATAATAAGTCCGTTATTTGTATAGCTCATAATCCAGTTCAACATGATCGGACTAAACATATTGAGATGGACCGCCATTTCATCAAAGAGAATCTTGATAGCGGATTGATTACTACTCCATACATTCCTACTGGGCGTCAATTAGCTGATGTATTGACAAAGGGACTTCCTTCAGACAGATTTCAAGAGCTTACTAGCAAGCTGGGAATGATAAATATCTATTCTCAGCTTGAGGGGGAGTGTTGTAAATAATATTTATTTATTTATTTGTTGTATTGGACTTAGCCCATTAGGTCATGTAGTCTCTTTAAATATAGAACCCTTAGTACAGATCAAATACAATTCAATAATATATCAGATTACCCTTTTTTCAAGTAGAAAAGATAAACGACAAGACAAGAAAGAAAGTGGTTCTCACCATTGAATTATAGCTTCCAAGGCTTCGTGCAGTATCAATATATAGATGCCTTCCTAGTATATTTACTTGAACTTTTATATATAAGCTAAGCATTGTTGTTGCCCATAATGACAACACCATTCTTGTAAAACCTAGAGAAAAAGAAATGACATAGCAGCAAATTTGATTTTAATTCCCTAATGCAACCAGACAAATTAACATAGCCACAAAGCAACAGGTATAATAAATGTGGAAGCAAAGACCCGGTGCATACTTAGAATCTTGAGTCTATCCCATAAAACTAGTTTCTCTGATCGAGTTAAAGTGTTTGGCTGACCCTTTCCTTGTATTAACTTCTCAAGAAGCTGAGAAAGATCCAACTCTTCTGATATCCGAGAACTTAAACTGTGCATGGCATGAGGCAATGTGATTGTTTCAGAAATTCTCTGAATATTCTCAAAGTGAGCTTGCATCCTATCATTGTCAATTACAAAAGAAAACATGTCATTGGTATCTCCTTCTTAATGTGGGGTTGGAAATTCATCATGATCATAGGCAAAAAAAGTGTAAATACATATTGAAGAAGAACAAGCTGGGTTGATATCACACTTAACTGAGCCTTAATGAGCTCTTCATTTTCTCTCTGAATTGCAAATTCTCTCTCAAGTGCATCAAGCCTACGCCTGTGACCAACATATAGCTTATACAAAAAATACCCACTTCCTAAGACACCAACAGTAACAAAAACCTTCCTCCTATGCCGTCTCCAAAAATCCCTAAGGCACAGTTATTGAGGGGAAAAAAAAAAAGCAAACACAAATGAGACATCAAAATAAGGCAAGAATGATGCAACCAACCAAATCAACAGACACAAATTTCCCTGCATTTCCATTACAAAGGAACAGAAACAATAACCAACGTTCAAATTGTTACTATAAATTACAAAACTACATAAATGAGAAACAAAAAATCAAGAGTCACCCCAGATGAAGAAACGCATTAAAGTTGGAGGCTTTACCAGAAAGAAGGCATTTTGATGCTATGAAGACTCAAAATCCATTACTGGGATTTCATTTAAAGAAGAAAAGAGAATTAAGAAGAAGCTTTGGAATTAACGCCCCAGGTGAAGGATAATAAATGGAAGTGGGTGTTGTGTTCTCCTTCCTTATCTTTGTGTTTGAGAGCTGAGAGCTTGGATTGGCCCTTTCACAAGCACAAAACAAGTGACTCGTTCAAGGTTGCGTGATTCCTTAAAGTTTCAGAACTGAATCTAGCGTCTGTTTGGAGCTAGAATCTATCTACTCAAATCACATACTAGTGTGTTGTTTATTTTCTTGTAAAAGAGACGTAAAAAACAAAAAAGAATCTATCAAATTGAAAATAAAAAATATAAAATAAATTATGGTGCACATATGGCGAACTTAATTTACTTGGCTGAATGTGTAGTTAGATTAATTTATTTTAACGTTATAAAAATTATTTTTTAAGAATTTTTTAAAAATTAAGAAATATTTTGCATACAAATTTATCACAATATAATAAAGAATTTTTTTTTTATATTATAAGAGATAAAATTATTGTTATACATATATAAAAGTGTATGAAGCCCATGTAGAGTCATGTGAAGAGAAGAGAAAGAGAAAATATAAAATATTTGAACACCTAACATTATCTTCTATACAAGAGAAAAATTATTCTTATGTCACATGAGGTAAGTTTTATTCTTACACATCTTTCGATAATCGTGCAACTTTTTTCTTTTTTTTTCTTTTTTCTTTTTTAAGTAATGGGTCCCACCACTATGTGTCTACAACATAAGATTTCTCTCTCATGCAACATGAGACTAGATAGATAAGCCCTCTGTACCATTATAAAATCTCACTTTGTACACCTCTGTTGCTAGGAGTAGGGTCTTTTTTTAGTTTCAATATAGTAAAAAAAAGAGTAAAGTCTCTTTTGGATCCTAACAAAAAACGCAATTTCTACTTTTGTTCCTTACAAAAAAAATTAATTTTTAATCCCTCTACAATTCAAGTTCTTTGAATATGTAGTCTCTCAGAAATTTAATGAAAATTCAATTTAATTTAATAAAAAAGAATAACACGATATTTTTTTTATAAGGGACAAAAGTGAAGATGGTATTTTTTATTAAGCGCCGCAGATAAAAAGAAAGGAATGATCCGTTTATTTCAGCCGAACATAAATGTGATCCAGTCTCAGATGTCCTTGAACAAGCCCAATTCTGCAAAAAGCTAAAGAATAATATGCTTCAAATTAAAAGAAGAAAAATCACCTTCCGGTTTAGGATAATTTCATATATATGAATTTTTTTTCCCTCCACACGGTGATGTCAACTCTCTTTTCGTTTAAATAAAGCGAAACATTAAAGACCACTAAAAGAGATTTGATGTTGGATTTGTTAGATTGTTTAAGAGTTTCTTCTTCTTCTTTGGTTGTTTTCTGCTGTGATTCTCACTGCCAGTAGTCTAATTTGTGTGTTTTAGTTTTGTTTTTTGCGGCCCAATTTTGTGCTAATTCTTTGTGAGAACTTTATTTTATTTAAAAAAGTAAAAAAAAATATATATATTGAAAGAAAGAAAAGAAAAGAAAAAACCTTCTAAAGTTTCACATTTAATAAGTCATACTCTTTTACCAAAAATAAAATAAAATAAGTCATACTCTTTCATCCTCTAAGTTACGGAGAAGTTTTGCTCTTTATTCTTCTTTTCTACCATATAAAAAGTACATCCCAACATCAAAGAAAACATATAACATTTGGGTTTGATACTAAGTTTAGAGACAGCGTTGATACAATAAAAGAATTGTGTTTGATACTAAATTCAATTCGCTATATTAATCTGAACGTGACACTGCAATTTTATCATCAAAAAATTAATAAAAGTTGAGTTTTGTATTTTGTATTTTGTATTTTTTGCTTTTAAGTTTTAACCTACAACACGCTCGTAGTAAATGTTCAATCTTATATATTACACGATCCTCTTGTTCACCATGTTTAAATAACAAAACATCAATTAAAAACTGATCATTTTTTCAAAAATTTATAACGATGGTTAAAACTAAAAATTATGATGATCCACTTAGTTAAAGGGGGCAGGTTACATTTACAAACTTTTTTGTTTACAAACTCTTATAAACTATACTATATTCTTCCGGGAGAACACTAATTTCACTATGTTCTCCCGAGAGAACATAGTGTAATTTGTAAAAACAAATTAAAAAAATTTGTAAACAAATCTTTCCCTTAGTTAAAGAGGCATTCTTTTAAATGTTGTTTCATAATAAAAACAAAATAAAACTTTTACCATTCAACTTTGACCTATATTCACACATTCACACAAGTTGTCTAAACTAAGTTTAGAACTTCGGAAAAGAAAATCGTAATTGATCCTTGAATATTTTCTATGAAAAATATGAGTTAATTGTCATTTGACTTCCCACATCTAAAAAAAAAAATATTACAGTTTTTGCTAATTAGCCATCTCAGTCACTTAAGAAACGACCGTTCGATAAGGATTATTTTATTAACATTTAGATAAGCTATTTGAATGTTTTTCAATGAGCAAAACCCATGGATCTATGATTCTATACCCGACCACACATGACTTATATTATTTTTGAGACTTGAGTTATTTGATAATAGCGGTTTTATAGAGATCCAGTCACACATGACTTATGTCAACGTAAATTTGTTATATTTTCATCTAATAATATGTTACTACATTATTAAAAGAATTAAGCTTCCTAAATAGTTGCTATGATAGCCAAAAATTATTTTCATGATTTGATACTACATAGTACCTGGTACAGAGTAGAAAGTTTCACGATGAATCAAAACTTCTTCAAAACTAAACCGAGACGCACCATATAATTTTCACCCTTCAAGCTTTAGAACATTAAAAACAAATACAAAAAATAAAACGGGAACAGAATTCTGGCAGTCCCAAAGTTACAAAGTGCACTAGGCCGAAAAATCTGTATGTACAGGCCCAAGCTCAGCAAAACTGCACTTGCATACTTCGTACATCAGAGAAATCACTGCCCCCTAAAACTATGTCAAATTTTCTTCTATTCATTCATAGGAATCGGAAAACAAAAAAATAAATATTCCAGCCTACATAATTAACACTTACTTTTATGAACATTGGCTCTTCTTCGCTGTCTCTTTGTCTTATTTTGCAGGAAAGAAGCAAGCAGGTCATAATCTTTTTCTTCCACATTTACGTTTGTGGGTTCAGCCACACCATGCAAAACAGTCTCCTCTTCAACAAGCTTTGACATTGACGGTCTATCGCCATCAACTATGATGGTTGGATTGTTTCCACAATGCACTTCACGAAGTAACAAAGATCCTTTTTTCAATTTTTTTGATTTGTTACCCATAAGGCAAGCAAGAGTCATATCATCGTCATCATCCCCAGTCGATCTATTTGCATCTTCTGGTTTTGTCACTTGTCTGTGATAAACAACAATCTGCCGCATGGACAAATCTTTAGTTCCATCAGTACCACATGACTGAGACAACCCATCTTCCTCACCAGATGGGATTTGATTTTCAATCTGCTTAGATACAATTGTTGTCCCAGAGGGAGAGAAAGCCGGACTCACATTTTTGGTACATTTAAATCGTCTCTTCTTTGATTTGTTGCGTAAAAAGCATGCAAGAGTTTTGTTGTCCCAATCTTGAATTTCTGAACTCTCAATACATGTCTCGACTTCGTAACCATTTACTGTATCCTCTACTTCCTTGAGACAATTTCGAGCCTTTTTCGCATGTCTTTTGGACCTCATTTTCTTGGGAACATTACTGCTCGTAATGAATGAGACATCTACACCACAAGTATTGACCTGGTCACTACATACTACATCTTGTACTTCCTTGGGACAGGGTCGAGCTTCATTTACATGTTTTTTAGACCTTATTCTGCTGCATGCAATGAATGGGAATTAGAAAATCAAAGGCAAGATTAAAGCAATATTCAATTTTAAACATTATATGGCCAAGATTATATACCGAAACAATAATTTCAATAAAGCTGGCATCATATCTCTAAGTTGTCAAGAATCAAGAGGGGAAATGAAAGGTATGTTTTAAAGGGGGATTACCTTGACTCCCTCTTCCGCTTACTGGGGAGATTCACAGCACCATCATCAGATGGTGAAACTAACATACGTAAAGGAAGAAAGTCATTCAGTGTAAGGGGCGGGCGTTCAGATTCTCGATCAACAAAGTTACTAGCAAGATAAGACTTTAGAGTCTTTCTTGCCTCTTGAAGCAAAGGAACTTGATCAGGAAATAACACCCTCCATCTCCTGATCAATGTAAGGAAAACAGATAAGTAAAATAACAAAATTTAAAGATTTAAAACAAAGATTTTTCATTGACAAAGTTAATTCTGAACTCGTACTTCCGGCATTGAGAATCAGTGCGAGGAGGCACATCTTCAGCAACCTTAGACCAGCAGAATCTATGCTTGACAATTGCAGCTTCTAATCTTAAATCCTCTTCCTTAGTCCATCCACCCCATTTCAAAGAAGGGTCCAAACTATTGAGGTATCTGCCACAAGAATGCTTAAAAACTTTAACAGGAACCCTAAATTATAAAAAATCTATTTTACCAAAATTTTTAAAATAAAATACATTACCTGTCCCTACACTGAGATTGGGTCCTTCCAGGAACAAATTTAGCTACTTGAATCCATTTCCGTCCAAAAAGCATGACTGCTACTATTAAGCGTTCATCCTCCTCTGGAGTAAAGCTCCCTTTCCTCTTAGGATAAAGCGATTTTTTCCATCTGCATTGGTTAATCATGTTTAAGTTTTTTATACCAGTGACCATGTTTGGTTATAATGGTGTCATTTCATTTTAGAGAATATGCATATCATTTTCTTTCCTTTATTTTCAACATAAAGCAACCTTATAAGAGAAAAAAAAAAGAAAAGTAAAGAAACAGAGTCTTAAGAACTATTCAAAATGATAAACAATATTCCTGTCTCCCTGTCATAAAGATATAGAAACTAGTCACCATTGAAAATTTCATGGTGTTTAAGATGCACTGTGGCAAAGGTAAAAAAAGTAATGTACTGCTTCAAAGACTATCCTCTAGGAGGGAACAATTATTTATGCTTAACAGAATTCAATCCTTGGCTGCTTGGGTTTGGAAAAACATAAAAAGCTACCATCCAAAAGTTGTAACCAGATATTCCCAGCTAAAAACCAGATTGTAAATCACCAACCAATACAACAGGGTAAGATATTACTATTTTCTGTCACCAAAAGAAAGGTTTGAAGCTCAACTTACAGCAGGATAAATACTTCTCTCATCCTTTCAATTTTCAACAAGAATACTATATAAACAAAGAAGTCATGCAGTTGAGGATCAAACTACACCGAGCAGAAATCTAATTATTCATTTGAGAAAAAAAAAAATTGATTTCAAATTACTTATGACGGGCCTTTAAAACTATTTCATTATACGAGCCTCACTAATTTGTGGGATAGGCTAATAGAAAATTGTTTTTGATTTCAGTTAATAGACTTACGATCATATGTAAAATGTAATTACAAAAATAATAAACCAAATAGCTGACTGACCTATTTGAGCACTGTGTTCCAGTCCGCCTTTCTAAAACAGAAGCCACAGACTGCCAATCTTGCTCACCAAAATATGCTACAGCAGAACAAAGTTGAGCATCTTCTTCCTCAGTCCATTCACTATTTAGCATGGAAGAATTTAAGCTCCTTTGATATCGTGCCAAGCATTGAAATGGAGTCCTGTTTGTATTATTATCCGGAGTCCTGTTTGTGGCCGCCAATGATTCAGCAATATCAATCCAGTTCCCAATGCCCTTATCTTGAACAATACGCAAAAGAGACATATCCTCTTCCCTAGTCCATGGGTCTTGTTTGATCAAGGGATCTTCACAATTCAACCACCTGTGAACGTAAACCATTTAAAAAATAAGAGAAACATAAGTATGAGAATCCATCCATACATACATATAGACATTATTCTACAGTCTACAGTACATTCAAGAAATAAGTGTCACAGACATCTGTGATGACAATCATCACAGACATATTAAGAACCACCATTTTAAAAATCATGTCATGTACATGCCCACCTGCATGATCTATGTTGATCTCGAACTCTTATTGAAATCCAAAAATGGTAAACTGTCTGTGATGATGATCGTCATAGATGTCTGCAACGCCAGGGGTAAGATATTCTTCACAGAAAGGCAGTAAACATGAAACAATAGTCAAAGAACTGTGGGGAAGAGACCAAGAATATGACACACAGTGATAACGAAGCAGCTAAAAACAGATCTACTGTGCATATGAAGACACGTTTTGACCTTCAATACGATGATGATATTGGTAGAATTTAATACCCAACCTGAATTAAACAACTACGTGTAGAAAATACATTATTCCATCCTAACCAGGATCCTATCTAAAGAGATTGCCAGTTTGTTTTCAATATGAACCTCACATGTACTCAAGATGTAACCCCCCCCCCCCCCCCCAACCCCCCAAAAAAAAAGAGTAAACTGGCTTAAATGGGTACTAAATTATAGTGCGATCATCTTTTCTTTCACCAACTTCAAACTCAATGTTAGGGTCTTGTACCTCATTACGCATATAAAATAACATTGCAAAATGTTCAATCCACGTTATCTCAATAATGCAGAGTCAATGTAGTTCTCCTAGGACAAAATATGATATGGGTATGAATATAGCACAATAACATAAACATAAAACACAAAGCTTTATCGTAAAACAAGAACCATCTTTTCATACATATCAATACAGAGAAAACAGAAGTTCATCAAATAGAAAATACATACCTTGATTCACATTCAGCACCAGTACGACCAGAAAGATGTGTGGAAGCCAACTGATCCCAATCAACTTTAGGTAAAAATTCTCTAACCCACTCTGATGAAATTTCAAGAGCTTTAACAGATTCAGTTATGCTATCCAAGTCATTTGCACCTCCAAATGAACACTCTGAACTGTCAAGGAGATAAATCAAGGGAAAAAAATCAAACCACAATAGGGTTAAGGGACACAAAGGTCAAATGGCACACTTAGTAATATATATCAAACCAGAATAGACATTACCTTAATCTGTCTACTGAAATTTGATACACCATTTTTTGGAATTGTTCCTTAATTCCCTTCCTAAGATTTTCCCTTTCCACAGATGACCATTTTTTCCGATCCAATGAAAGCGCAAATCTTTCCAAAACCATCTTATAAGAAGGGACAAGAGGATTCTCATCTGGGCCATAACACATTGCAGATATTTTTTTATGGTTCTGCCCAAATAAAAAAATTAAATCAAGGATTGCCAATATTTGTTAGAGACTGATACAGACCTCAAAGTAAAATAAGGAACAATCAATTAATAACAGAGAACCCGGAACTCTTTGGCCTGAATAATCAGGTGTTTCATATATTTATGGAAATCAAGTGGCAATTACAGAACCTATGATAGTAAACAGAGACCAATTACAAGTAAAGGAAACAATTACAAGACTGGAAATGTATAACGGTAAAGGAAATACAGTAAAGGATAGTTGTGAAGCAATTGGAGAGGCTTCACTCTCTCCCAAGGGTTCCAATCCAACAATATTCTCCAAGATGATCCTTTCAAGCACCAATCCTCCCCTTTTAACCAATTCCCCCGTAAGTCGTAACCACCTTGCTCTCCCATGCTTCCTTTCTATTCTGCTGAGTCAGCACAGCCAGTGTTTTCACTTGGGCCTATTTCTACATTTGGGGCCCAAACTATGGTGGGTCCTATCAGAGACATACTAAGACTATCACATATGTTAAGTAAATAGATAATGATACATTTGCTTCTTCTTTCTTTTTTTGACAATATCTAATTATCCTAAAAAAATTTAAACATGTTTATTAGAAAAAGCAAAAACAAACGAGCTCTAAGTCTTTGTACTAGTTTATAAAATTCTTATATTAGATTAAGCTACTACGTAAGATTGTTATGCAAAAGATTTAATCCACTCAATCCCCCAAAGACAGACACAATACAAGAAACAGATAACAAGGACTGTATAGAGAGAGCCATTCCCCTACATTCCAGTTTGATATTATCCATTCAGATCCAATAACTGTATGAACATAATACAAGCATATATCACAACAGAGAATCACTATAGTCATGTAATTTCAAAAATTATATTTCAAATGAAGGGAAATTTTAAATGATATTCAGCCATCTACCCATGAGAATATACAATATCTGACCGGTGACCACAAATTCACAACGAAATCAATATGAAACATAACTAAGACTTCAGAGTTCAAAGAACTATGAAAGTATTACACAACCAAGTGACCAACCTTTTCATTTGGAGCATAAGACTTTTTTGCTGATATTAACTGAATACGGAAATCCTTTTTTAGTGATAAAGCACTCCCTGTCCTTCTAATGCATGAAAGCTGGAAGTCCTTAAGGATCTTAACTTTGTCCCTTAGCTCTTTGTTTTTCTCAATTTTAGCTTCAGTCTCAGTCAACTTACGTCTAAGAGATCTCTGGAGAGACCTATTCTTCTTGATGGCATCAATAAAAGCCTGAGCCGATGGAGGAAAGCTTGATCTTTTCGGTGGTAATTCAGTTAACTTGCAGGGATCAGATATAAAACTCTCAACAAAACCACAATGCTTCATTTCATTGTTCGCAGTCAACAAATTGGTGGTCATATTAGGATATTGAGAAACAGGACATAATTCACCATCATCTGATCTGTCAGAGATCGAGCTGTTAACAATATCCCCTTTATAGCCAAGGCTTAAGGCCCGATCCCCCTCAGCTGGTGTTCCCATTCCGCCTTCATTAGGACCTGATATTTTTCAGCATGCCAAGTTTGTGTGAAAAGAATGGAAGCAAAAAAAAAAACTGACAACAAGACAACTTAAAAATTTATACACCAAAGCCAAGCCGAGCAATACCAGAGTCGCAGAATATATAAACGATGGTAAATAGGTGAAGAAAATGACTTCAATGAGACATTTTTGTCACCTAAAACACATAATTTAATGTCAGTCACTGTGTGTAGTGCATACCAAGAAACAACTTTTTTCTCTTTTTCTTTCCTTCATTCTTTTTTTCTTTTTTACAAACAATAGACAAACACAGGAAGGCACACATTACCAGAGACCCAGAAATCAAATAAAGCTAAGCTCAAATCACCACATACATTAACTAATAAAATTCGAAATTCCACAGTTACTTAACCCGCACGTTGCATTCTCTTTCCAATACGCATCAGTCATCGCCCAAACAAACAAATTTGCACAAAGAGAAATCAAAGTGATGACTGAATTCAAATACCTACCTTCGTTGTAGTTGGAAAACCGATTAAAAATAGCACGGACTGTCGCAAAATCGTCCTCGCCGTCGTCATCATCATCGTAGTCGATGTAAGCTGTGGTCTTAGGGGGAAGAGAACACAAAGGCTGGTAGAGGCTCTGCACTCTTTCAAGGCACTTTATATCGTCAGCGTCCGAGTCAGAGTCGAAGCCGAAGTCATCGGTTACGGGGACAATGGCATCTCCGGCGGCCAAGAGCGGGTCCTCGGCCTGAATTTGGTCGGAGTGAATGGTGAGATCACGGCAGGCGGTGAAATCGTTGTCGCAGCGGGTACCGGCAATGGTGCAGGCTCTGGCGAGCGCAGCCATGTCCTCCTTAAAACCTTCATCGTCGTCTTCTTCTTCTTCGTCGGTGGCGGAGAGGCTCTCTTGTTCATATTCATCGGCGCGAGGAGCCATTGGTGATATACGGCTAGGGTTTTGTCTTCACTTTTTTCAGAGAGTGAATTAATGTTTTTGGGTGTTGAATTTGAAGGCGGTGATTGGTTTGAATTACAGCGCGTATTTATTAAAATGGGAGGTCGACACGACGCGTTCTGGATTTCTTTCCTTTTCTTGTAGCGGTTGCCGACTTGCCTTTTTTTCTCTTTTTCCTTCGACTGGACTTAAGGGATTCACCAGTCACATTTTTTTTTGGGTCATTGGGCTTCTTTTGGACTCGACTTTCACCAACTGGGATTGTGTTTTATTGGAACTAGGAGTGTAAATGGGTTGGGTTGGCTTTGGTCTGTCCAAGCCTACGTAAAAAAAATTCAGTCTATCTGACCTACTGGTCTATTAAAGGTTTTATTTGTAGGTCAAACCCGGCCCATTTTAAAAATAAGAAAGTCTACAGGCCTCGTAGGCCTCCCACTGTAGATACTAAACAAAAAAAATAATTGTATAGAGCAAAAAAAGATTCATTCATGCATGCACTAGTATTTCTCATAAGAAAAAAATGACAAATTAGAAAAAGTCAACATAATACCTCAGCTCTAGAATGTATATCATAGAGGAATAGAGTCAAAGAAATAAGAAAAATACAATTACTGAATGCTGAAATAAAGTGTACAAAAGAACGTCATTCATCTAAAATAAATATTATTTTATTATTTTATTTTAATAAATTAAATAGGTCACCCTACAAGGCTATAGCCGGACTTGACAAAATTGGCCTATGACCTATTTGTTAAAAAAACTTTTTTATAAGCCTAAGCCTACTCTACTGTTCTGAAAGGACGGGTCTGGGCCGGGCTCAATGTAGGTCGGGCCGCAGGCTGGGCCGGGCTAGCCGGCCCGTTTACACCCCTAATTGGAACCAACATTCAACTCGTAACGTTATGAAATAAAAATATTACATATATGCATTTAATAGTTATAATTTATTAAAAATAATTAATTAATTAATTAATATAACTTAATAAATCACAATCATTTAACGATTGTATTGTAAAATTTTATATTCTTATCAATTCTAGAAGTTGAAGTTAAAGACTACATTAGCACGATCTATGATGCACCGACACAGGACACGGACACGACACGACACACTGATACGTTAATTCTAAAAAATGTCATATTTTGACATGTTGGGACATGTTTTGATATTAAATAAAAATTTTATTGTATATAATATAATTTATATTTAATATATATAATAATCCATAATGGGTCATATAACCAATCAAATATTCAAATTTCATAACATAAATATAAACAAAAATAATTTTTCGTACTTTGTTAATTTTTCAAGTCAAATTTCATAACAGAAACAAATAGATTTATAAATTATTATTTTTATATTTAGTTAATAAAATATAATTAAGACTAAAAAAAACGTGTCGAAGTGTTGACCGCATGCCGGAAAAAGTTGATTGCGTGTCGGAATGTGTCGAAGAGTTGACCGCGTGTCGGAACTTGTCGCTGTCCGACACGTAATTTTTTTTAAAAATTGTGTGTCTGTGCTTCTGAGAGCACGATCACATTGAGATGTCCATCTCCCTGATAAAGCTTTCATATCAAAGTGACAAATTGATTTATACTGCATACGTCCCGAGCATGTAGTCGTCAATTACTTGTGACCTATATTAACACATACAAGATGGCAAAGCACTGTATAAAAATTTCTCTTGTTCAAAGCACATCTGAATTTTGCCATATTAGAGTAGTTAAACACGTCACCTGACTTGACGCATTCAGTCTCGTCAACAATATTGACGCAACTTGGTTCCACGTCAGCAAAGTGGAGGAGCTACAGGCCACATGGCTTGATCTGGTTGAGTCCAGTCACACAAATTGATGGCACAACTCGTGTCAAATAAATTGATGCCATATAATCACATCACAAAAGTGACCGCATCACCACCATCTACTTAACAAATGACACGTGTCAGTCTCGTCATATATACTACAGTTCTCTTCCTTTTTATACTCACAATGATACCTTCTCCCTTTGCATTTTCGTTATTGCACACTCTCTCTCCACAAATTTCTTCGTCTCTCTCAAAGTTTTCTCTTCCTTCTCTCTAAATTCCTCTCCATCTCTCTCTAAAAGGTTGCCTCTCTTCTTCTCTTTGCTTCTGCCTCCCGTTCGTGCAGCTGCCCTGGTATGTTGTACTGTTTAATTTATTTTTTATTTATTTTAATTGTCTTTTAAATTTTGTTATTTAATTTAGTTATAAGTTATTACATTATTTGAAAGGAATAAAAACCCTATTGCAGAATATAATAAAAACCCTAAGTTAAATATTCTTCTAATAAATTCCTCGTGTACAATGTATTTTTAATTAAAAAGTAATTATATCATACGATAGAAATAATATTATTAAGTAATAATAAATTAGTAAATAGTAATAATTATAATTAGTATATAATGAATGTTTTAATTAAATATTAAATATAAATTAGGGTACCATAATATAAAAACTTATTTAGTTAGGTAATTAATTAGTAATGCAACAATTAAATAATAATTTTAATTAGTGTTTTGAGTAAATAAAAATTATAATTAAAGAAAGCCTAGGATAGAAAACATATTTAAGAAAATAATGAAGTAATAATTAAATAATAAAATAATAATTATAATTACTATTTTAATTAAATATTAACCCTAGGATAGAAAATTATTTACTAAAAAATTAATTAGTAATGCAATAATTACTTTGTAATTCTAATTAGTGTTTTAAATAAATAATAAATATCATTTATGAAGAAAAGAAATTTGGTTAACTGAATTATAAAACTTTGAATTAGCATAGAAATGATTAAATATTAATTATAATTTGGGTGCTATGATATAAAATAATAAAGTAGTAATTAAATAATAAAATAATAATTATAATTAGTATTTTAATTAAATATTAACCCCATGATAGAAAATTATTTACTAAAATAATTATTTAACTAAATAATAAAAATGATTTATGAAACTTTTTTTTTTTGGTAACCTGAATTATGAAACTTTGAATTATTATAGAAATGATTAAATATTAGTTATAATTTAGGGTACCCTATGATATAATTCTATTTAGTAAAATAAATAATTAGTAATGTAATGATTAAATAGTAATTATATTTAGTGTTTTACATAAATAATAATGTTAATTAAAGAAAGGCTACGATAGAAAGACGTTTAAAAAAATAATTAGTTTATTTATTACCGTTTTAATTATTGTTTTAATATTACTTAATTATTCATTTATTTGTAAATTTGTATTAGTTACATGGTTAATCAACATCCTCGCATTGACCCTGGTAACGTACATTTAGATGGATGCCAAAAAAATACTCACAGGCTTCCTTGTTTTCACTTTCAACAACCACAAAAGCAATTGGCAGCACCTTATTATTTCCATCTTGGGTTCTGGCGATCAATAATGTTCCTTTATATTTACCGTAAAGATGCATACCGTCCACCTGTATAATTGGCTTACACCATTTGAACGCCCCACAATATTGACTGAAAGTCCAAAAAACATGTTGAAAAACCCGAACCCCATTAACAACCTATCGATTGATGGTATACAGTTCATCTTGAATATGATAAACATATCCCGTGGGAAATTTGACCATGTGCATGAACCATCTTGGTAAGAACGTATATGACTCGTCCCAATCATCGTAAATCTTAGCGATTGCTTTTTGTTTTGCCTTCCATGCCTTACTGTAAGAAACGTGAAAACCAAAAAGACCAATAACTCGTTCTTGTATCATGATCACGGGTACCGAAGGCGATGCGTTGACCATGTCTGTTGCCACAATCGATACATGTGTACATTAGGAATAATATTTATGTTCACTTATAAATACAGATAATTATGAAGAATAATAGTTAAAGAATGCATAATACTTATCATGGCCTGAGAAATAAATTCAGAATCAAGCTGTTTGTGATATTGGGAGAGGATTTTGCTCACACAACTATGTTTACCAACCCATTTACTAACCACCTAGGTGCTGCTATTCTCCAGTTTAATTGCTCTTACTCGCCAATTGCAACCTTGTTCATGGTTCAGACATTTCATAGACAACTTGGTTGTAGTACTCTCAACTACTATAGCTTCTTGATATTCCTTCATGCAGTAATGTTTTATGGCATCTTGGACATCGCGTTTAGACCCGAACTCTTGTTTCACAAACATTTCCTCTCCTCTTGTCCATGGACCATGACCTAATCCTTCGACATCCAATATATCTTTATTCGGATAATCACAATTAACAATCACGTAGTGTGGAATGGCGTTCCAAAATGGTGTCACGTATGCATATACAAACATAATAGGGTAGATGCGAAAACGTGGTAAATAATAAAAAATAAAAAATTATTAACACAAGTTACTAGCTAACCTAATGGTGGTGGAACAACTGCGATATTGGACATAGGGATACCAGTCTCGCATTCCACGGGATTATCATGATGTTCATCACCTGCATCGCTATTATTCTGATCATGGTCATTTGCCAACAAAGTATCTTCATCTTCATCTACTCCTTCCATATCAAGTTCAACATCTACCATATAGTTGTTTTCTTCTCCATGTGCAATGGTTGATTGTGTGGGCCGCGGAACAGACGATAATACATAATGTGACTAACTATTAAGATCCAGCCCGCAAATTAGTATTGATAGATCCTCTGATGTCACAATAATGACGTATAACTCAACAAATTGAGACGTATTGTTTTCGATGAATGTTGTAAGGAAAACATCTATGTCCTGATCATCAGATATTTCAATACCTCCATATTTACGGTTTCCACTCGGGACTCTACCCGTAACTAAAGATAGTACCTGATTTTATTGCATCATCAACTTCTCACATATCTTTCCATACAGATCCACAACAAACATGCTCCGGACAATATACATTGCTTTTCCCCTCTTCGAAGCTTAAACCACCTGAACCTATGCTTTTACTACCATTGTAGTATACGAACGCACGAAATTTATTCATTGTAATAGTGTTTTTATGCAAATAAAATACAAATTAAAATGTGAACCTATGATAAGAAAATAATGACTACAAGCACAAAGTAAAAAAAAAACATACACAACACTACACTGAACAATC